TCCTCAGCATACGCTGCACTGTTCATGGGTGTGTAAAAGGCTGATTTTTTGCACATATGTGCATTACTGTAAGTAAAAGTATGAATGAGGCATCCAGACTCCCAGTATAGCACTGGGGAACACTGGAAAGTGCAGAAAGGTAACATTTAACCTTCACTCTGAAGACCTGAGCAGCATTTATTCTTCTATAATGAGGCAGTGCTACTCATCCTCCTTTTACTCCAGATCATCAGGGTCTGAGTCCTCTTCTTTGGGGTGGGAGGACTGGATTCAACCCTCAAGCCCTGAGGAGTTTGCAGCGAGCAAATTCCCCATTTGCAAGTCAGGACTTTAATGGCAAGACATTTGGCTGCTCAGGGCAGCAGCCACCTTTGCTCTCCTGTTTGAAGCTGTGCCAATGTGCAGCAGAGAAGCAGGGCTTGAGGGATCATGGTGTAGCTAGTGCCTGCACCCCACAGAGCCGGGAGCTCAGCCAGCAGGGCTGCAGTGTCAGTTGCTGCCTCTGTTTCAACTATTTTTACCATAGTTGACGTAAAGTCTTTGCAAGTTAAAATACAAAAAGTCCCCCAGAGCATGAGGAGCAATACCAAAGCCCTCCCTCCTGGGTGGGTGCCTCAGCTTTGCAGCTGCAGACTCAGAGGTATGTTTGTGTCTTCTCTACCTCTTGGAGATCTTGGAGATCTCTACCCCTTGGATCTACCCTTTGACCTTCACCTGGATTTTCTATCAAGTCACTGGTGACTGGAGGTGTAATGGTGGTAGGGAGCCACGGATTTACACCCTCATGTGAACAGGCATCTATCTCTCTCTCCACGGACTGCATTGTCTCCAGTGCAGCAGGAGAAGCCCATAGTGGTACAACTCTCTCCTGGCCAAAATAGGGCCGCCCTTCTGCTCCTTGTCTAGAAACCAGTAAAACCTCTGTGGGTCTGCCCCGAGGATGGGTTTGGTCCTGGCTGCGTGTAGAGAGCGGTGTCCGGGGGATTGTTCCTTTGGCATCTCGTGGGATGAAGTAAATTGTACTCCGGGGCTCTGCATGGGCTGTAAAAGGAGCTGATATTCTTTGGAGTTAGCCACCTACTCCTCAGACATCAAAGTTAGAACAGATGAGTCACACCTAGAGCGGTTTGTTGCATTTTTAGCAGAAAGTCTGTAGAAAGGCTGGGGCAGGACCCAGAAGCCCTGTGTCCTGGGTCCAAATATAACCTTTTTTTTTTTCCATAAGAAAAGCACCATGTGTTTATAAATTGCTCTTTGCCAAATGACTTGTTCTTAAAGAGAATTACACTGCAATAAGCTGCATCATTAAAAAGAAATTTTTCTGTGAGCGGCAGGGTCTGGTTTCCTGCGGTTTGGTGTCTTGTGGTGGGATTATCTTGTGTCTAATGAGGAGCACTCTGGCTGAAGCCTTTTCTCCTGTTCATAAAGACATTGTCTCATGTGGGTACTCTGGTGTCTATAATACATTTGGGATCAAACTGCAGTTGTTTAGGTTCTCTCCTATCTGACAATGTAATATTGCCCACGTGGCAAGCTGTTCCTCCCTGGAGACGCGAAAGGGTCATACTTCTCTACCTTGCTGCCTCTTCTCACAAAACCGGTTGAAAATTAAAGCCTTTGAGACTTCTATCACACAGTTAAATTTGACTGAAATTGGCCAACAGGCTAAAAGATAATTGAGAATAATACTGGACTGACACAACAACATAATAAACCTAATTTTATTAGGTAATCGGGCAATAAATGATGGAAAGTAAATACTGGAGCAGATTAAACATGGGAAAAAATGTTCATAAATATTTATTCAAGCATTTAAATGCACTCAAGGTGACCATTTTATGCCTGTTTTGCATTTCAGTTTTAGAGGTTCTATTCACAACCATATGAAAGACCAAGGGCACAGGCACCCCAATAGTTACACTCATACCTCAAAAGTAAAAGTAAAATAATAGTTTTCTGTGAGACTTTTTTTCACAGAAACAGGGAATTTTTAACCATTTCTTTCAGAATATTACAAAATTTAGAATTTAGAAACAGGAATGTTGAATAATTCAGAACCAGATTTTGAAGATGATACTCACCTAGTCAGAGAATAAAAATAGATCATGTGGTTTGTGCTGGATTGCCAGATTTTTCAATAAACCTGAACTGAACAAAGTCAGACCAAAAATCCTTTGCTGAAGTGATTCATGGAAATGTTTCAAAAATGTGAGATGTGAAAGGGAATTCTCAATTATTTGCACACACACACAAAAAATCACAAATGAAGGAAAGAAGAAAGATACATTGAATAAATTGCTCATCGTAATTTATTTTTCCAGTTCCTGAGCCATAGAAACGTGCTTATCATAAAGTGATTTTTGGAGATACTTGTATTTTCTTACCTTGGATACAATTTAGATGGATGAGCTACCATTGCTCTCCATGCTTATCAAATTAGGAGAATGCATTTCTAAATTCAATTACATCCTCAGTGGAAATGGTTTCTCTGACTCTGGTAATCTTTGGAGAGGAATTATACACAGTCTATAAAGCTTCACATTTCAAAACCTAATTTTGAATGTTATTCAAGAGGTTAATTTAAGATTCATCTTCCTAAAGAGGAGTTAAATAAAACTGATAGAAGGCTGGAACTTGTCAAGTGGTTGAGAGGTTTATCAGCATGTGAGTATGAGTTCATTAGTTTTAATTAGTATAATCACTAATGTTGCATTAACAGTTTGGTGAGAGAAAGTAATTGCTCACACCCACTGTATTAGATTGGGAGATTAGAATTCATTTTATGAGGCAATTAGCATTTCAGGGATTTTTTTATAAGGCTTTTACGATCTGCCATTGCAGTAGCCTCCTTCACCAAAAGAGTTTAAATTAACCATAACTTTCATCCTAATGGGATGCAAAAATTAATGTAGAATTAAGTGTGAACCAGTCCTCTCCAGCAATCCCACCACAATAAGCAGGCAGCTAAAGCCACAAACCTCCATTAGTTTATAATGACCTGTTTTATTTCCCAGACAATGATAGTCATTTATCTGACCTCAATTCATTACCTTGTTGGAAAGTTTACATTCTTGAATTTTATACAGCAAAACAAATAAATAATGAGGAAGGAAAAAGTAGAACAGTACTGTTGAAGTAATAATTCTCCCAGGAAAAAGCTGCAAGGTTCAATAATAAGGCTTGAATAGTCAATTATTCTTCATATCGAATGTCAGAGGAAGAAGAAACATCTCCCTTTGACACCCAGTGTCTTGGGAAGATCCATGCGTTACACAGCAGCAGCAATCACGACCCTGCTCTGCCCATCACATTCCTTGGCAGCTACTGACAAAATGGAAATCCTGAATGGAGATCCAGGACTTTGTCATCCTGGTTGGCAGGGAAGCCCTGGTCATCTGAGAGTTGGGACAGCTGACCCAAGAGATTGCCTTCCAAAACATCCTGGAAAGCAAAAGTGCAGTTTCTGGGGGAAAGACTGTATGCAGTAAGAACGCTTACTCTCACGTCAAGGTTGTAATAAAAGGCATCACGGTATCGATAGAGAGATGACACAATGCACCATTTGCAACATATCTGGCACCTATTACACGGGACTATGCTTGCCCCTGGTTAAAACAAATCTCTGCTCAAAAATGGCTGAATAAAGCCCAAATCTGCTGTGATTTGGATGTGGCATGGAGGAGAACAACTGTTAGATCTTAGAACCATACTGTTGTTCCTGTAATTTTGGATACATATGTTAAAATAAGCAGCCGTGGGGCAGTATCTGGGGAGTTACATGAATCTTCCTAAAACATATGTTAAAGCAAAATGTATGTGTATATATATGTACTCTTAATTCTTATACTCCTTATAAGCATCTCCAAAGGAGACATTGTCCTCCTACATTTAAGCATCTAAAATTTAGGTACAACTAGACAGATTGGATCTCATCCTTAGTCACTCTGGCGGCAGCCGGTGCCACCCTTAGGAGGTGAATTACTCCAGCTAAGATCTGAATCCGCCGCTGGGAAGGGCTGCCTCCCTCTATTGACTGCAGAGGCGGTCCAAGGTAACCAGGTTTCCGTCTCGGGTGGCCGGAGTAAATGCTTAAAATTGGGTAGGATGAATCATGGCCGGCGTGCCTGTGCCTTAGGGTTTGTCTACGCACAGAGTTATTACAGAGAGCCATTACTCTTCTTGAATAGCATTACATATGGATACACTTTTGGTTGAATAAGACTTACTCATTTCTCTTCAACAACATCCGCTTGACAGAGGCAGAGCAGTTTGCTTCCTAGTCCTCATGTGGAATTATTCTGCAAGAGCTGCTGCCTTTCCAGCTAGCTGCCCTACCTTAATCCAAATTTACTTTAGTATAAAAATGTCCTTAATTTGCCATCCATCCACCTTTGAGAGCCACTTAAGATTTATGGAGGTAAGCGCATCAATTAAGCACAAATACATTGACCAAAAAAAAAATGAATTCATCGTATACAATAAAAACTGACTTTTATTTCACAAATTATGGGTGTTATAAAGCATATTGTTTCAGGAGAAATGCCTGTATTTTCCAGTGTGTTTCATTAAAGAATAATAAAGCCATACATATTTCATTTCCTTGTTCTGAGCTGCAAGAGCTTTAACTATATAAAATGCCCCATGCTGTCCTTGCTTTGTTGGGCTTTTTTTTCTTTTTAATCAGATTTTTTCCCCCAAACTAATGAAATCGCTCTTTAAACACATAAATCACTTTCATTTGAAGTGACTTATCATGGCTCAGATGGTTTCTCTCTTCTCCTGGAGAACAAGGCAACCTCCAGCACCTTTTGCTGTGCAGATCCAGGCCTGGATTGCCCCTGATGTCAGCCTGGTTTCAGCAGTTCTGAGTTCCCGGCGTTCCCACCAGTGCTGTTTTAGGTGGGGTATTAGGTGGCTGGTGTCTGCGGGGTCTGCACCTTGCATATCTGCACCAGTTCCTGGCCCAGCTGCTATCACGTGTAATTTCTCTCTTCTCATAGTATGCACCGACCCGCTGTGCAGCTGCGCAGACGTCTGCGGAGCAAGGCGTCCTCCCTCCCTGCCATCACCACGAAGCAGTACATGACCCCCAGCTGGTTCCCTGCACATGCCCGCTCTTCTCCTGCCCATGGGAAGGGCACCTGGAGGTGGTGGTGTCCCACCTGAGGCAGACCCACCGCATCAACATCCTTCAGGGGGCAGAGATTGTCTTCCTGGCCACGGAGATGCACCTGCCTGCACCCACGGACTGGATCATCATGCACTCTTGCCTTGGCCACCAGTTTTTGCTGGTCCTCAGGAAGCAGGAGAAGTATGAAGGCCACCCCCAGTTCTTCGCTACGATGATGCTGATCGGCACGCCAACCCAAGCCGACAACTTCACCTACCGGCTCGAGCTCAACAGGAACCAGAGGCGCCTTAAGTGGGAGGCGACCCCCAGGTCGGTACTGGAGTGTGTTGACTCTGTCATTTCGGATGGGGATTGTCTTGTGCTGAACACTTCCCTGGCTCAGCTCTTTTCCGACAACGGAAGCCTAGCGATAGGAATTGCAATAACCACCAGCAAAGTTCACAATGCTGAAGCTGAAATGTGAGGGGAAAGAGGAAGAAGAGGAGGAGGAGAAACAATGGTGCTCTAGCTGCCTTGTGAGAGCCAGAACTTGCGGACTTTTCGGGGGGGTCTCAGGTCTTTTATGGTATTTAGTACTCGTCCACAGTGGGCATTATGTAAACATCCTGTGGTTACGGTCTCTGTGTAATGTATTTACCGTTTTGTTAATACAATTTTATGAGAAATTTTGAAGAGGCTAATCAATTTATTGTCACCCTCCAGCAACACTGGAAACAACACTTTCTCCTGGAAAGTGCACCCGGGGTGACTCTCAGAAACCTTTGGTCTGAGCATGCTATGCAAATGTGCTTCCTTCATTGTCTGCCTAATTGCCTGGTATTAAGGAGGCCCTGTGCCTGGTAAAAGGCAAAGTATTCCACTAAGGGCCAAGAGCACCCAGATTTCCACACTAGCAACTCTTACACTGTGGTCACAACCAAGCCCCAGGGAGCTTGCAGTTTCAGAGCTCCCTCCAGCTTCTAAGGAAGCAACCTTCACCACCCAGACAATTAAAGCTTCAGAAGAAAAAATCACCACCTCCACTGAGCTGGGGCCTGGGAAGCCTCATCCTGCATTAAATCGGGGATGACAGCTAGTGGGTGGCCACTGTGAACATGGTTAAATCTCACTCTTGTATCATGATGGGCAGTGAGAGGCTTGCTAGATGGTCTGGCTCCAGGATGGATATAACCATAGCCAGCCATTGGGGCATTCACCTTTTTAGCTGCTATTTTCTTAAGCATTCAAAAAGAGATTTTCAGAAAATGAAGTATCAGGAAAGTCCTAGTTGTGTACTGATCTTGCTATTGAATTCTGTGCCACTTAGACCCACAACGTGTGCTGCTAAATATTGATTTAAAACAATGCAGACGGAATATCTGTTTGCAAATTGGCTATGAGATTTGAAATGCTCTCCTTTAAAAATAGCTTTTTTTTTTTTCTTCCATACACTTGGGGGGGTGATGATGGTCCCTTTCATTCTGCTGCGGGTGTTTCACAGATGATGATGGTCACAAGAAGAAACAGGCTTCTCTAAGAGCTTCTTCCTTAGATGGCTCCTTAGGGACAATCGGAGGCAGGTGCTGGCCATCTCCTGACGCTCAGTCCCATCTGCAGTCAGGCATGTTTCCTCCATAGCCAACAACAGCAGTGAAATCCCACTGCAGCGGGTGACGTGTTGAAGGAGGGGGCTCTACAAGTGAGTGTGACACATGAGAAGCATGAGAAATTGTCTTTTCCTGTTTCCCTTCTGCCCATGTGTGGCTGTGGCCTGCCTGCTTCTGAATGCTTTTTTGAGAAACGTCTGGTGGGTTGTGTCAGTTAGTAGCTGGAGAGATTGAGGCTGTTTGCTTGAGTCCCTTGGAAAACCAAGGAAGGGGGGAAGTGAGCTAAGAACAGTTCTTCAGTGTTTCAAAAGGCATCTCACTGTAGCTAGCTTTGGGTAGGGAAAAGCTCTGATGCTAATATCTCCCACCTGCTGCTCTCCTGGGATTTATTATAAACGATGCGTGAAGTAAAACAAATTGCAATTTTCCTGAGATGAATGCTATGCAGATAATGCCTTCTGAGTTGCAGATGCACCTCGCCTCCTTACCTGGGCTTTCATAGCAGGTCACTGCTCAGAGAGGAGCCAGGATCTCTTCAACAGGCTGCTCATGATCACGCAAGCTGAGGTCTGAAGAAGAAGTCTCAGTCCCTGTAAGAGTATGCTGGGGCATACCTTCACGGCTTTCCCACCTCCGAATTTGAGGGGCTAGGGGGGCATGCTGGTTTGCAGTGAGTGTTTCACTGGAACACGCAGGCTTCAGAGTGGCTTGCTTTTTTCCTGCGATGTTAAATATTCAGAACCAGCAACTGCTGCCCTTTCCCTAAATGATGGCAATAAATAAATCATTGGCATTTTTGTGGACTCTAACTGGCTTCTCCAGCCCCTCTGGCAAATATTCTGCTGCTGAATTAAAACAAAGCAAAAGCAATAAAACCCCAATATAAACAGTTCCTCTAGCTTAAACTTCCTGAGCTCTTTGTACACTGTGGTAGAGACCTAATGTAATGCTGCTTTTGTTGTCTGATCACAACCAGTTTTAGGGGGAGGGATATTCCTTGGGTATTCACTTGTTTCAGGCTATTTACTTCTTGCTAGTTGGCACCTTTTGTTCTTGAAATATCTACTGAAACGAAGAATGCGCTGTTGGTGTTTTTGGGCATGCCCCTCGCCAAAAGACCAGTGTATTTCTGGCAGGATGAGTGTGACAGCAGCAGTTCTCCAGGATGGGCATCTCCATCCCTTGCCAGCGGCCAGGTTTTCTGGTTTCAATGGGGCAGGAGGCACAATGGAAATCTGACCTCCCTGACACGGACCTCCTCACATCCCACATGTCCTTCTCCCAGAACTTTCTCATGACCACACCAAAAGTTCAGCCTTTCCATTTCCTTCCCAGTCCTCATCTGGTGGCCACCCTCCTCAGCCCGCTCTCAAGCTCTCAACCTGGGCTTCCCCCTCGGCTTGCAGAGACCATGGCGCTGTTTACCTCCTCCCGCTCTGCCTCTTGGGTGCCATTGCTCAAATCTTTCTCGCTGCTCTTTGCTGCCAGCCAGGAAACCTCCTCACTCGGCTATCTCCACAGCTGCAAAGCCCCAGCTCTGGCAGGGATTTCAGAAATACAGATACATTGGAGTATTGATTAAAATCTGTCTAGTAAGACTCCCAGTACAGAAAAGGAGGACACATTTTGGAGAGAAAGGAGATATGAGTACCTAAATCCAGCCTTCATAAGCATCTCAACATAAAACTCAAATGTTTAAGGGTATATTTAAGGACTTTCTACCATGGAAGACATTCTAATTCCACCATAATTCAAAGCCTATGAGCAACCCTTCACTGCCATAAAGCAAAGGTGAAGCAAATATTCTGCATGATGGGACATAAATGCTAAAATGCTGGCAGGTAGGATCAACAATGAAATTCAGTTTACATGCACTCTTTCAGTGCCCATAATACAGCACTTTTTACAGCTCTCTACTCATGGTCGAAAGGCAGTTGTAGCTTGGCTTGACAAATTTGTGCTGAATTTGGGGCTTCTAGAATTCATTTTGTACTCTAATATTTTGCATCTTTATAATGTATTATATCGAGTCACTCCAAACTCCTTCAAAAATGTGAAGAACTTCCTCTATGAAGTAAGGAAGTACCCTTATTTTGGTGCAGGAGAAAATGAGGTCTTGCAAAATCGCTATGCAGGTGTTGCAAAATTCTGTTTTCCTACCTACCTGAGAGCAGGTTCCCTCTTTATTTTGGTTTGTTGGTTTTTTTTTTTTACATAGACAAAATAGTATTCTTTTTTTTTTTTAGAGTTTTTACATATCTGTGTTCATGGATGGATTTTTTTGTGCCTAGATTAGTAAATTGTAACAATAATTTCATCAGGCTGAGCCAGGTGGATTGCTGCCAGACCCACTAGAAAACCTACTTTGGTTCTTCTGCACTATCCATCAGACACAGTGTGAATGTTAATGTCAGATCTGCAGTAAAACAGCATTAGTGCTTTCAGATCAATCCCATTATGAATTAAGCTCACATCATATAACCATGACTCCTTATAAATCAGCTGAAGCATCCCGAGTCTCATTATCTTGAAGATGACAAAGGATCTTGCTGTGCCAGTGCGAGCCGGAGGGCTTGCTGAGAAGTAGGGCAGTAGTTCTCTTCCCACTGGACTCTGATATCGCACCCTACATTTCATACCATCCTTTATGAATACAGGCCAGTAAACTACTAAAGAAAGGAGGGATGGTAAATTCTGGACAATGAAAGGGTTATAACAAAACGAATGGTTTACAATAAATTGCCAGGTACCGCTGCATGGCGCTCTCTTTTGGGCACCAGAGGAATGAAGCCTGATTGACAGTACTGTAGTATAGGTGATTGGTCTGCTCATAACACACCTGAAAAACACCTTGATCGGAGAAGGGTTCGTCAGAACAGACACAGAGATGCACTTCTGCTCAGCTGGATCAGAAACACCTTCTCAAACAGAGGAGCTGCAGCTTGTGAACTGTTCAGACACAAGCATAAGTTTTTAACCCTTTTTTTGTTAATCCAATTAACTCTGTATGCTCACACCAGCTGGACAAAGGGTGGAAAACAAAGATTGTACTCTGCCACATGTATCATCACTAGAACTATTCACAAAAAAAGATGATTCATCTTCTGCAGAGATGAACCTGCAGAAAACGATGGGGTTTCACAGCAGGGTAGCACAGGGCAGCGCCTGCAGGCTCCAGAGGTGTACACATACAACTGAGGGCAGATCTCAACCTCCAGACAAAAATATTACTCAACGGAAACCACTCAGAATGAGGTCACAGCAGGGGCTGTCAGGAAAATGATCAAACCTCCTGAGAATAGCAAACCAGCAGGGAGCTGAGGCTCTGTGCAGAGATGTGTCACTTCACATCAGCACCTTCCACCCGGCAAAAGAGTCTCTCCTCTGCTGGGAGCCTTGTCTCAGGAGCAGTGTGGATGTGTCATTGGGATCAGCCCTTGGCACTGTGGGTCTGCATGCGAATGACCCCGACGCTGCACAATGAGTGCAGACACCCAGCCCCTCTCCTGCCCCACAGCTCCTCTGGTTTTGGTGGGTACCCAGCTACCTGCAGCTGCTAGTGGTTCCTCCAAGCCCTGGCACTTGACAGTTTTGCTGTCTTTCACTTGTATGACTCTCACCAAGGTAGGAGAGTATTTGCTGAAAACCACCCAAAAAATCTTTGGCAGAACATCAAATTAAACCTATACTTCATACCCTTGGTTAGGATTATGATCACTCATTCTTTCTCTCTCCACAAAGGCAATAGACTAATGCATAGCTTTTTTATCCTCCTTTGGGCTCTGCCCCTCCAGAACATGCGTGTGAAAGATTAGCAGGCAGCAATCATCTTCAAGAGAAGGATGAGGACTAACATTCATTGCAAAGATGTCTGTTCTCGCAGTACTTTCACAAAGGGATGCCAGGCTCCAAAAAAGAGCCTAACAAACCTTAGTGGGAGGCAGATGGGAAACACCAATTGCAAAGCCTGCTGTCCTTCAACTAGAATGAGCTTTATATCTTCCAGGTACTGAAAAACCTCCTGAGACGTTGCCTATCTGAATACATCACTTAATCTTGTAGAAAGCCCCAGGACT